AAGTTGTTTTTTGCATTTTTAACACACAAACAAATATAAATGCTAACTTTGGCCAGTGTTTGTGACTAGGTGACTACTAAAAAAGATTGGACATACCCTATATTGAATACACTGGGTTGTCTACTTTCAAAAAACATGTACATGCGAGGTGATTTGGAGATTTATGACAGATAACAGTGTTACAATGTCACTACAAATACAAAGAAACAAGTCCTGCGCTCAAACTCCCATCACTCCTGGGCGGCAGCAATGACCATAGTACACATCAGCCCCAATACATACAGTAAAAAACAAAGAAAAAAGTTACCTGCGCTCTTTCCACATCCCTATGTATCTTTAAACAAATGGAAGCCTTTAGTTACCTCTAATGGCCATGAGAGGATATGCTCACCTGCCACATCAAGGTAGACCTCTAGGTGAGTCCTAACTCTAACCATTCGCCTTGCTTCCTTGAGCTTCTGGCAAAAATATCTCTAATGAGACAGAAAGGGGTATTTTTTATATACATCCCTACATGCTTATTAACCCTTAATAGGAGTGATGGGAGTGAACGCAGGACTTGTTTCTTTGTATTTGTATTCACTTTTGTATCACACAGCTAAGTTACAATGCTGTCGCCCATCCCATGTGTTCCCTATTAAGGGTTAATAAGCATGTAGGGGTGTATATAAAAAATACCCCTCTCTGTCTCATTAGAGATATGTTTGCCAGAAGCTCAAGGAAGCAAGGTGATTGGTTAGAGTTAGGACTCACCCTAAGAGGTCTGCATTGACGTGGCAGGTGAGTGTGACGAGAGCAATCTCGCCACATTGCATTGGAGAAGCCTGGTTGCTCGCCTGCTGCCTTTAGACTATGGCCCCATGTTAAAAGATATATTTTTTACCTGCAGAAAAGATTTATTCGTTCTTTGCTGCCTGGTGTTCGGTAGATTCAATCTACCGAACAACCGCACGAATGACTGGACCACCTGGGAGCTGGAGTGTGCCGGCAATTAGCCTCCCTGAAGCTGCGGTTAACCACAGCTTAATTGACGAATGCTGGGTGGCCGCCATTCGTATCACGAACACGAGGTCGCGGCCAGTTTAAACATGCGAACGCACAGCGGTGTTCGACGCTTAATTCATGGAACTGAAATCGGACACAGTTTGCACGAACACCGCTGAAGCCGCCGACCTCCCTTCTTGTTCGGTGAAAGTGCACGAATGGCCCGGTGTTCTGTAGTTTTGTTTGAATGTGCTATACCCCAGATAGGAATCCCATGGAGCCCATTCGCATGAAACTGACTGTGTAAAGACTTTGGCTCCATGGCGATTAAACTGTATTCGTGTGGTCTGAGCGCCATTCGCTTAATAATGTGCGCTCAGACCTGAGCTATCTGGGGATATGTTAAATGTATGCTTTTAATGTTATGTGTCTCACATAGTGTATTTTAATAGTAATTCCTGTGTTAGTATTCCCACGTGCATAATGGCGATTTGCCTTTGTCTTGGGAGATAATTGAAATACTTCTCAATTATCTCCAAGGCAGAGGGGAGGAAGCCAGGATGCATTGTGGGAATAAAATGTGACTGTGTGTCCTGTTTGGCTGATTGTCTGTCTTTTGTCACAGTCTCCCATTTGGTCCCGTAGGGGAGTGTCCACCAGGTGGGAGACCTGCATAAATACTGGGCAGGTAGCCCTCATTAAACAGACCACTGCTTGACCCTCAACACGGAGTCTGATCTCGTCTTTGGGGGGATTTACTGAATGCTGATAGAGACTGATTGCTAGGAGTGTAAGTCGCTTGGATGCTTTTCCTATTTGTCTGCTAGCAGCGATTCGTATGGTTCCAGTTCGTGTGTTTGGAGTGCTATATTGTATGCCGTTCGGGAGTTTGGAGCACTCCCTTATTTGCGGTTCGAGAATTTGGTGTTCTACAATAGCTGTGCCTGCATCTCTGGAAAGGGGGACGATCGCCTAAAACGGTTTTTACCCCTTGTGTGCAAAACGGTCCGTTACAGTGAGCATATCCTCTCATGGCCATTGGAGGTAACTAAAAACCTCCATTTGTTTAAAGATACATAGGGATGTGGAAAGAGCGCAGGTAACTTTTTTCCTTTGGTTTTTACAATGTCACTATTGATCAATTTTAACACCTTAAGGGCCAAACTTCTGGAATAAAAGGGAATAATGACATGTCACACATGTCATGTGTCCTTAAGGGGTTAAAATATATGTTTTGAAACAGCAATTTCCTACTTGTACTTATAGCCCTATAACTTGCAAAAAAAAAAAGCAAAAAAGCACGTAAACACTGGGTGTTTTTAAACGCACAACAAAAATTTGAATCTATTTAGCAGTTTTTTTCCAGTAGCTTTTGTAGATCAGTAAAAGGTTTTTCAAGTAAAAGTAAGTAAAAAAATATATTTTTCACCTTTTCACCATATTTTATTATTTTTGTTAAAGTAAAATATATGACATGATACAAATAATGGTATGCAAAGAAAGCCATTTTTTCTTGAAAAAAACCCCCCAATATATAACTTGTTTGGGAATCGTAAATGAGAGAGAGGAAAATTACAGCTAAACACAAACACCACAAAAGTGTTAAAACAGCTCTGGTCCTTAACGTACAACATGGCCAAAACAGGCCGGTCCTGAAGGGGTTAAACACCAACAGGATGAATACTTGCAAAACCATAACATTCAGAAATATAATTTTTACTTTGTAGGGAAATAGCTTCTTTATCCAAGGAGTGATCTGACTGCTATTCTGGGGTCAACAATGAATTATTTCCTAGTTTGTTGAAAAATTAAAAAGCGCTTCCAACTGTCCCCCCCCTCACTCCCCCAACCCCCACACATCCCCCATCACCTCCCCCCTTTTGGATCAACAGCATGTGAAGCATGTCTCTATTCAGCCTATGTAACTACACTCTGAATATTGTGTTATAGAAAAGACAGATCTCAGGGTTAACAGTCAGGAAGTTAAATCCTATGATACAAACTGTCCGCCCCCTGGTTGTGGAATGTGATAAAACCCATCCCAAAGAAAGAAGACAAACATTAAGTTTTGTTTTTCGTTCCTGCTTTCAGTGATGGCGTCTGCTGATCTGAGAGATGAGCTGACCTGCTCCGTCTGTCTGAACATTTATACTGAACCTGTAACCCTGCCATGTGGACACAGCTTCTGCCGAGTCTGCATTGAGAATGTGCTGGACACACGGGAGGTGAGAGGCTATTCCTGTCCTGAGTGCAGATTCATTTTGAGGAAAAAACCTGAGCTTAAAAGAAACCATAGACTGTGTAATATAGTTAAGAGTTTCCGATTTACTAAACAAACAGGGATAAAGATTGGGATCCCCTGTTCTTACTGTATTCACTCTCCTGTACCTGCTGCTAAAACATGTCTGCACTGTGAAGCTTCGCTGTGTGAAGCCCACCTGAAGGTTCACAGCCAGTCTGCAGAACATATCCTAACTGAACCCACCACTTCACTGGAGAACAGAAAATGCTCCGTCCACAAGGAAATCCTGAAATATTACTGCTCTGATGATGCTACCTGTGTCTGTGTGTCCTGCAGGCTGGACGGAGATCATAGGGGACACCAGGTGCAGACTCTGAATGAGGCATCTGAGAAGAAGAAGGAGAAACTGAGAAATATTCTGCAGAAACTGACCTCAAAGAGAGAGGAGGCTGAGAAAAGAGTCCACAACCTGCAGGAGCTCAAGAGAGAAGTGCAAAAAAAAGCAGCTGGGGTAACAGAGGAAGTAACTGCCCTGATTAGAGGCATTAAAAAACAACTGGAAGCTGTAGAGAAGCGAGTCCTTAGTGAAATCTCCAGGCACGAAATGCAGGTCTCACTCCAAGTCTCAGATCTAATCCGGCAGCTGGAAATAAAGAAGAAGGATCTGTCCAGGAAGATGGGTCACATTGAGGAGCTGTGTAACATGACGGACCCTTTAACTGTCTTACAAGGACGGAAATCAGACAGAGTTGACTATTGTGATACTGAGGAGGGAGATAATGAGCACAGAGAGAGAGATGATAAAAAAGTCTGTGCTGTAGGGGATCTGGATTTGGGTCTGATCTCAGTGACCTTACACTCAGGATTAGCTGGGATTGTGACCGGAGTAAAGAGACAGAGCCAAGTACCGGCTAATATATTACAGGGGGTAAACACGTCTTCAAACATGTTACTGGATGTAAACACAGCTTCAGACATGTTACTGGGAATAAACACGGTTTCAGACATGTTACTAGATGTAAACACGGCTGCTAATAATGTAACCGTATCAGGTGATATGAAAACTGTATCCTTGTCAGAAGTAATCCAGAGTCGCCCAGAAACACCAGAGAGATTTCAGTCTGATCATGTTTTAAGCGCCAGGAGTTTCTCCTCAGGGCGACATTACTGGGAATTGGAGAGCAGTGAATCAGGGGGATGGACGTTAGGGATGGCCTATCGCAGTATAGACAGGGAAGGGTGGCAGTCACAGCCTGGATATAATAGCAAGTACTGGGGTTTGGAGAGAAGCTGGTTGATTGATGATTATAATGTGAGATATGACAGTAAAGGAACATTTCGGTTATGTCACCGCCTTTCCAGCCGGAGATTGGGGATATTCCTGGACTACGAGGCCGGGCGGCTGTCATTTTATGAGCTGTGTGACCCCATCAGACACTTACACACATTCACTGCCACCTTCACTGAGCCGCTTCATGCTTTATTCGGTGTATATGAGAATAATACCTGGCTGAGGATTTAATGTATTGCATGATTTATTAATCTAATTAAAGAGATTTCACTGAAAATCCCAGAGTGGAAATCAATAGCCAATAATACTGATCTGGGTGTGGGCGGAGCCTGTTACCAAGCAACCACTGCTCTGTGTCACTGTGTGTGTGTGACTGTGGGGTGTATTCAAACAGTGAATTTTACTGACATTAAAATATAATTACACAATTCCAGAGGTTTAGGCCGAGCTGTTTCTATATTATTGAAAAGTAGAAACCACGTGTTTTACCTGATGGGCTTTACTAAAATGGTGTTTGTAATATTAGGAATGGTTATAATTAACAGATAATGGGAATGTACCCAGTAAATCCATGTACATATAGAAAATGATCTGAGAAAATGGGACGGGAGTTTGACGTTTGTAAACTAGACGCCATTTATAGCGCAGACTGCAAGTTCATTATTTCTCTAAATACTTTCTGTTTTTTTTAATAATGTTACGTAAATTAAATGTCACTGGATCTGTTTGCTCAATAATTTCTGGGTCAATCTGAAATTAAAATCTTTATTGAGAACTTACTGTGTCATTTTGTGATCTTTATTTCAATCAGGTTATTTCATTATGCCGCATTGCCTACCCTAATTTTAGTTTGCCTCCGCTGTATCAAGCCCACATAGTTCCCACTGACCACATTTTATTATGCCCACATCTATGGCACATTGCCCACATTTATGGCACATTGCCCACATTTTCTTGCCTGCATTACCTCCTGAATGATGAGTTTGCGCTGGGCTCCCTTTTGTGGACTGCGTGGGTCCATAATAGTTGGCCGTGAGATATTTTTACATCTTGTGGGAGTGTAACTGAGATTCACGTATCCACAAGGCGCACATAAGGGGCACAGGCCCTGTTACTGACTCATCAACCAATTTGGCAGAACAGATGTACCGTAAATAAAGTGTCAGGTTAATGCTGTAACGGATCACCTGGCACCCCGACTGGGTACCTCCGTTGAAGGATGCTCCTAGCGCTTCCTGAGGACTCCAAGCACTGCAGCAGACACCACAACCACCAAACCAGAAAAACATTGGAATGCTCTCAAGCATAAAGCATATGAATGCTGTAAGCAGCTGAACAGGAAAAGCATACAATCAGCTTACACTCCTGGCAATCAGCATACAATCCAATTCCCCCAATAACGAGACGACACTTCGTTTTGAGGTCAAGCAGAACTGACTGTACTGGCACATACAGCCTCTTTTATTCACAATCCACAAACATAGTACTGCCCACAGTGTTTTGTAATACAACCAATCAATCCATACAATACACACAGACACACCCACGCAAAATCCTCCCCTCTGCCTGTGATATGATTACTGAACACAAGTTAAAATAATTATCACAGGCAGAGAAATACAGTATTATAAAACATATCACAGGGACCCTAAAACATGCAATAACCCCATAAATATCCTCGGAACCGGGGGATCTGGATGAACCACATATGCAAAATTCACCCAGATCCGTTCAGTAGTTTGGAAGATGCAGTTTAATGCAGATTCCGCAGAACATATACAGGCTATATGAAAAATAATTACTGTATAATGTGTCCCCTGTTGTATAGTTTAAAACTACTGAACGATGTCTTTGTGCACCAAATACCGGCGAGATGGCACCGTGTAGAAAAGTCCAAACAGTGTCTGTGAGTTAAAATGGCCGCCATCCATTGTTCTCACCATGTGCTTCATCCATTGTTCTCACCATGTGCCTCTGATACATGAAATGGTGGCCACCCAGTAACTCCACAGTATGTCCCCAGATGGTTCTTAAAGGGCCAGCAGCAGCACAACACAATTCCATTATGCCCAAATTATGTCTTTAAAGGGCAATACATCCCAGGGGCCATAGTCACATGGCAGGAGGCTGGCAATCAGTCTTCTCCAATGCCCAGTGGCGAGGTCGGTTTTGCCACATTTCTCCTCTTTCCCAAAAAGACTAACAAGGTATCTGACCTCCTGTCGGTCAGTGCCTTGGTTAGTCCAGCAACCCACCCATAAAACATTATCAACAGAGATTGGTTACTACACCTGGGGTAGTGGGTTGCTTGTCCATGTCCAGGGGCTCCACCATGGCTCTGGGGGGTACTAGCCTTCCGGACCTGTGGTTTGCTGAGTCCCTACCCCCTTTGGTTTGGGCACATAGACCACGGTACCATCTGCACTGGTGTGGGGCTTATCATCTCCTCTTGGTGGGCTAGGCTGCCGCTGGGGAGGGGGAACGAGACTCTCCCCTCCCGGTAGAATTCTCTGCCCCTGGGGAGCAGGACCGACTGTCCGTACTCCCTGTAGCTTGAGCTCAGAGACCACTGCCCCATCTGCGCTGGTGGGGGGCTTAGTGTCTCCCCTTGGTGGGCTACGCTGCCACTGGGGAGAGGGGGTAACAAACTCCTCTCCCTTACACACGTTCAGGCGCTGGGTAGAGGGGATTACAGGCTAAGTAAATTGGAGAGGGAGGGGGAGAAGAAGGAAATTGGAGAGGGACTGGGAGAAGAAGGAAATTGGAGAGGGGAGAAGAAGGAAATTGGAGAGGGAGGGGGAGAAGAAGGAAATTGGAGGGGGGGGAGAAGGAAATTAATGGGGGAGGGGGAGAAGGAAATTGACGGGGGGGGAGGGGGAGAGATTGACATCCATCACACACACACAATGCACCCATTGCACACAGAAAAACACACAATGCATTACACACAGACACACATACACAAGCAATGCATCCCTTACACACAGCAACACACAATGCACCCCTTACACATACTCAATGCATCCCTTACAGACGCACACACTGCATCCCATACATACACAAACTCACCTTGCAGCCCTTACACATACAAACACAGATTCACACAATGCATTCCTTACACACATCAGGACATCCCCCACACACACACTCCACCCCCTGTGAACAAACTTATTGGTGGAACATGAAGGTGGACCCTGGGACCCAGACCTTGAGCTGTGTAAAGGGCCCTCAAAAAAATGGAGCTGCTTCCCGTTCTCCCAGAACATTGATTTTTGTGACCACAGTTACAAACCGCCTCCAGAGAGCCTGTTCTACACCAGACCAGTGGAGCCAGACGGCAGCTAGAGCCCATCATCATCCTCATCTGGTTGTAAGTAGGCAATCTAGTATATTATTCGTGGCACTAATCTCTAATTTACCTCACATTAAAGGGTCACTATAGTCCCCAGAACCACTGCAGCTTAATGTAGTGGTTCTGGTGTCTATAGCCTGTCCCTGCAGGCCTTTTAATGTAAACACTGCGGCACTGCAGCACTGGCATTAGTTAACATGGCAGATCATATGGGTGGGGCATTGTGATGTCACATGGGGGGGCGGCAAACTTTACTTTTGTCTAGGCCGGCAAAAATCCTTGCACCTGCCCAGCGGACACTGCATCCCTGTGGGTGGACTCAGGGGGGCAGGGGGGGGGCAAGGCACTTTGGGCGGACTCAGGTGCAGGCACCGGGGGGCCTAGAACTTGAGCTGTGTCAGGGGCCCCATAATAGTACCTCGATGCCATGGTTACGGGAGATGTGTAGTCTGTAAGTTTATAAAATGGAACTCTAGACAAGTGACAGATAGCGAGGGACATCAAACATACTAAATCTCTTCTTTTGTTTAAATGCAGTTCAGCAGGTCTTGTAATCTCCTCACATGCAAATGCAATCTGAAATATCTGGGTAAAGCTTTTCGTTCCTTTAAAGAAAGAATTCGAGAACATGTGAGATCGCTGAGGACAGAGGCATAAGTACAAACCACAGGGCCCCGGTCATTGTCACTTAAATTAATGTTTTATTTGGATTATTTCAAGGCTATACCTAGGCAGTTACTGATGCTTCAGATTTTGAGCATACGTCTATGTCTATGTTCCTTGCATAATCAATTAGCATTTTGCTGTTAGAAGTAACTTGGATGGACCTCTTTTGCCACCAGATATACTATCTGAGTATATATGTTTAATGCTTAGTTCACCATTAATGGACACCTTAATCGGGGTTCTAAGATATTATTTTATTCATTTATATTAGATATCAGTTATTTCTAAGTGTGGATATATTTATTTAGTTCTGAATATTTCTAAATGAGCAGAATGCAGTTTTGAAACATGCTTTGGTTTTTGTACAACTGACTTATGCTTTATCCTTAGCCTTAATCTACTAACCAGGCATGTAATGGTTAATTCAATCTTTCATTTCTGTTATGTACACTATCCCAATATTGAGGGTTGCCAGGGAAAGTGAGTTTGATCTCCTTGTGTGTAGGTAGTGGTTATTGTGTGGTGCGACCCGTTATACCCAACAACCCGCTTCCCCTTACCCACCCAATTAAGACCAAGAAACATAATTGTGGTATAAACAGGCCACAGTTTTATTTATAAATTAACAAGCATATATATAAACCACCCCGAAGAAATAGTGCTTTATGCATACCGTCCTGCCAACCCAGGTTCAATAGGTCCCATCCCACCGCACGCTAGCCGAGTGGTAGTACGCAGGCATCCCGCCTTCCAATTTGCCGCACTACCACACCCCCCAATTTCCTCATGAAATTAACTTTCTTCCTGCATCTGTCAATAGCCACTGGGTCCCGTGCATGCCTGGGGAGAAATAAACAAGATGTAAATACCAACTCCCCACCGGAATCCCCAAGGCACGCCTTATTAATCCAATAAACCCAAACGCACATATGCACATTTGAGCGCAACCGAACCGACTCCCATCTCCCTCCAGCCGCCATCCCCCTCTCTACCTGTGGCCCAGGGGAAGCTTGCCCGCTCCCAACCACATCACCCTGGCCACTAGCCACGGGCTGCGCTCCCCCACTGCATTGCTCGCCAAGGGGCCCCAGCCAGAGCCCCGTGCACTTGCCTGTTGTGCCAGGGGCCTGCCACGCGTCATCCCGGCACTGGCCCTGCCATCCATGACCTCCCGGGCCGCGACCCAGTCACTCCAGGAGGCCGCCCATCCAGGGCAGCTGCCCGTCGAGCGGCACTTCGCCAAGGCCCCGGCTGCGCGCTGGGAAGCGGGGTCTCTACCACGCGACTGCCAGACCTGCTGGGGCCTGCTCCAGCCACTACGGGTTTAGCCTCCTCGAGGGCCTCCTGGCCCGCGCCGGTCTTCCTCTTCCGCCATCCCACTCCAGCGCCACCGCCAGGAGCACTGCCCAATAGCCGCTCGCCCAGTGCTGCGGCCCTAGACAGGGGAAGCCCACCAGGAAATATCCGGGTGGGTGCCCCCAGCAGGCTGGCGCCCTAGGTGAATGCCTAGTTCGCCTAATGGTGGCGCCAGCCCTGGGTACATGCTGGACATTCAGAGTGTAGAGATACTCTCACAGCTGGTGGCACGCGTTGGGCATTCAGAGTGTGAAGACACTCTACCCTTATTCACTTTTGTATCACACAGCTATTTTACAATGCCACCGCCTAACCCATATTTTTCCGACTAAGGGTTGATAAAATTGTAGGGGTTTATAAAATTACCCCT